GTTGTATGAGTGAAAATCTATACTCTGCAAATTTCAAATTAAAGAAAGACGGTGTACTGGATTGGAAGCTCAGACCTGCCCACTAACCAGCATGCCACTGTTTCTTTCAGTGTTGCTCATTGGCTCATCTTTGTCAATGCCCACAGCTGTTATTTGTATGCAAAGTGTAGTCTAATGAACAAAGATACATTCACAGCATTTGCCACTTGCAATGCAGAGTGTGAAGGGCTCATAAACAGTATGAAATTCATTTCTTATCCAAATATGTTCTTTGTGTTAAAGTTCATTCATTCATCAAAACCATGACCACTCTGGCTCTGACAACTGTGATGCAGGTGAATAAGTGTGCAATGTTAGGGCACCCCCATTACTATGTAATATCCAAGTACTAGCATAACATCTGTACAGTAGCATTATACATGTACATGTATATTAACTAGAGAAGTAACATTTGCAAAGCAATTGCATAATGTTTACCTTCGGATATGGTCTGCTCTGTTAATTCTCACTCAAACACATTCACATACATGTACTACTAGTACATGTACTAGAACACATGTATATGGTGACATGAGCAGAGTAGACCATGAAATTGCAACATTATGTAACCCAACACCAGTCACCATGGTGACAGACGTCAACAGATCATGTCAATGGTCAGGTCAGAGAATTTGGAGAAGAAGAAGAGAAAGAAACTGAGCAAAACCAGTTCGGAGACTAACTAAAGATTAGAAGTTTAACTTTAAGGATTTATAAGTCAAGTAGAAGCAGATTATAGATTCATCTAAATTACTATGACTTTCTAAGATTGAACGTTATCTCCATACAGTAGTCATATTTATACATTACAAAACATACATGTATGTTTTGTAATCAGTTGCAAGCTTTTACTTATAATAGGTAACTTCTCGTGTTTTTGTACAAAAATGTGTTTTCCGATAAAAATATCTTCTTATTGAATAGTTTATAGTATTTATATAGAGTGTTAGCAGATTTTGTGTCTTTTATTTTAGTTCTGATGAAATCAGTTCCATGTAAGAAGTTGTTTATTCCATAGATAAAAATGTTGCGTTCTTGTGTTTTTATATTACAGTTACGTTGTGAGAATCTGTTTTCTTCTTGTGCTTGAGGAGCTTTTTCCTGCCAAAATAGTCGGCAATACATAAGCACTGGTGGGAAAAATATATTTCAGAAACAAGCTGTACAATGTTATTCCTATTAAGGGATAACAGAACTTCATTTAGTACACATTAAGTCCAACAAAAGTCATCATTAGTAATCATTTGGCCATTTTACACAGTTGTTAGTTCTTACTGATTGTGGAAGCCTCTAGTTGTTGGAGTGGAGTGAGTGAAGTGACTGCGACATCCATTGGACAGTTACTTATTTCAATTTTAGAAAATAGTTTGCTTTAAGAACAAGTTTGAATGAGAAGTTTGGTGCTTGAATTTGTTGAAACTGTATCTTGGTTATACTAGAATTATGGTCTAATGTGACCTCTTTTAAAGCGTTGATGACACAACAATTAAGTTGCACAATGATAAAGCACTGCTTCTTAAAAGTATTTTTTGTGAGCCAAAGTGTGCCAGTTTATGAACAGTTTGCCATGTTCAATGTGAGGTCAGTTTTTTCACATGTTAATGCATCTTTAGTATTATATAATATAATACATGTAATAACCATAAGAAGTCAGAGGACAAGGTATCAAACTTTGCCAAATTCCTGGTGTGTATATTGTACCTGGGACAATCTACTTCTTTATGTACAGTGTGTACATATGTGATCTGTTTCATGGAATAATATGAGTATTTATTGTAGAATTTCTGTGAAATTTTTCAGTTTCAGTGTGGTGTAAGTACAATGTTGTTGCAGATTTCAGGTTGATATGTTCATATTCTATCTTGTACCCTATTTTGAGCTTTAGTTTGTGAAACCTCCATTGTTGCATGTAGATCAATCCTTATTTGTCAGCTTAACATGTTTTATTTTGACAAAATGCTGCATCTAAGTTATTAAAACCTTTTTAAGGAAATTGTGTTTTCTTGTTTTACTCATTTTGTTCATAGGTTACCCTAAGATGCGTTTGTCTACAGTCATTGAAGTGCCCCCTAGTGAACACCAGCAAAAGTGCATATCTGCTTTTGCAAAAAGGGAAATATTTATGAACTATGGTAACACCAAGGTGCTTAACACCAACTTCTCTACCACCAATCTCTATCTTCTCTAATTTGTATCAGGTATTTACTAGCAGAGTAGAATGTTAGACAAGTTGTACACAGATTTTTAAAAGTTGTTAAGTCTTCGCTTAACATGCCATTGTTCAAAGTAACATATAACATCCATTAACATTTATCCAGCACGTTACATGTTCATGTATCCACTGTTTTTCATACACATAGATCTTTAGTGCTGAATCCCAGCTATGCATTGCTTGGATATGTAGGAGTGCATTATACTGGGGGATGTTGTGTTGGAGATCTCTGTTTTATTGGGTTATTACGTCCATGAAAAATGGAGGTATTGTTTTTGGCGTGTATGTCTGTGTGTGTGTCTGTGTGTGTGTGTCTGTGTGTGTTTCCGCAACATTGTAGTCAGCATAACTTCAGAACGCCTTTATGGATTGTGATGATATTTGGTATGATGGTAAGTCTTGGAAAGACAAAGGTCAAGGTCAAGTATGGGCCTCCTGGTGGATGACCTTGGTACTGCAGCAGCACTTCCGGTTTTTGTATCTTTTGTCCTGAACAAGCTATGGTCTTGACTTTTTGGTGACAGATAGCTTAGAGGCACCAGAGAGGCAGTTGTACATGATTAAATGCAAATTATGCAAATGAGGACTTAATTTGCATAATTAATGAGGAAATTCTATACTTACAATGTTTCATATAATGGTACTGCTATACATGTAATCTATTTAATCTGTGGCAGGCGGAACATCAACAGATACCAATTATGCAAATGATGACCTAATTTGCATAATTAATGTGAAAATTCTGTGAATCCTTATTAGTGAATGATGGGAATTTTATACCTCGTAACATGTGTAAGTTACTGAAAGGTTTGCATCGCTATGCATATATTATGTTAATGTGGAGGTTATTTGCATAATTAATGAGGACAAAGCAAGCCCATATTTCATGGAGGTATGAGATCTCGGAACTCTTGTTGGATATTTGTGACATGCTACTAGTATATAGTTGGTTGAACAACATAAAGTTACATTACATGTATATAGAATAATTTTATTGCTTAATTTCTTTCTTATCCACAATGACTTTGAACTTGTTAAAGACTAAAGTTGAAAATCTTTTTCTGGCCTCAGTGACCTTTTTTTCTGAACAAACTGCTTCATTTAGTGTTTCCACATCTAACTGTTGTATTTTCTCCCATTTTTCTGCTGAAGAAATGCTACTACTGCAGCCAAGAGGAAAGGTTCAGGACTGTGCAAGGTCATCTAGTCCTGTCAAGGTCACATGTTCTGTCACTCCATCTTTGTTGACTTCCATGTACTGTTTTCCGATTGAAAGGATTATGTACGGCAGGTTGTCCTTGTAGTTCAGGAGATTATGCGGTCTTCCTCTGCTATCTACAACTCCTCAGCTTTCCTCTTCATACATGTACTTCCCTAATGTGTAACTTGTACACTCCTGCAAAGCACCATACTGTATCCTGTAGAAAATTTGATGAAATACTACTTCAGACTTGAGTCAATAACATGCAGCAACTTTGTCCTAAACCTCATTTTCAGGCATGTATATATAGTTTTCTATTTAACTTTCATTATTTGTATGATTTATGGAGGCCATCTCTTTGAAGCTCTTAGAACTGCTAAAAATATAGTGTGAGAAATGGGGTTTAATTTTGGCAATAAGGCAAAGTTACATTGTGTATAACTTGTTCAAGTTGTTGCTGTTAGTAGTAGAGCTGTGTACCTAAACACAAATTTTAGGTACAAGTACACAGGTTCAGATACAGGCCTGGACCTGGACCTCTGTGTAAGTTGTTATTGTACAATGTACATGTAGCAAACTCTTTTTAGTGGTAAATTGTTGTCTTTGAGGGTTTACAATGTTTTAATCTAGCTTAGATTATAGTATTTACAAATTTTCCTAATTTCCAAGTGCCCAAATTGTCATCCTTAGGATGCAATTCACTTATCATTTGTTGTAAAAAGAATGGTATATTGACTGGTGTTTTCTTTTGTTCAGATACGGGTACACTTATTAGATGTTCAGGACCTGTACCTAAATAAAGGTACATGTTTGGTACACAGCTCTGGATACATTTTGGTAGTAGGGATGTGTGGTAGTCAGAACTGTTCAGTGAGTTTCCTATAGTATAAATTTGAGCCGCTGCAATTCCATTGATATTACTCCTGACCTTGGAAGACAGGATCTCTCCCTATATGTTAAACTTCCTGTATAATGCTAGGGTAGCAATAATTAGTAGTGTGAATGTGCACTTTCATGAAGTGATATCTGATATTCTGTGTGTTCTGAATATGAAGCAATACCACATCTTGTCTCTCAACATCTGCTCAATAAGACCAGTTGTTACTGACCAGAAGTTCAACAGTGTGAATGTTTTCTGCAAGAAATCACCCACAGAGATATTAATTTACATTGGGATAGTGTTGTCTCTACTTACATGTACATGTGCTATGTAGATATTAGAGCTGGAATTCACAGCTGGACAGAACTCTGATGCAGTCTCGTAAGTTGTAGTGTAGCACCTAAATTAACTTATTATTAATATACTACCTCGCACAATCATGGTAAATAAATAAATGTAGACACATACATGTAAGTGTACCCTCTGGCATTTAAACATCCTTTATTCGTCCTATTTGCAACAATAAAACTGAGCTCAGCACGGACAGATACCCAAGCACAACCAGTCTTACCTAAAATTATGTTCTACAGTAGTGTAACGTTACATCATATAATCAACTATTTTCCTGCCATATTTTGTTACCGTTAATTTATTTTGGAAAATTCAATAAAGAAAGATTTAAAAAAAAAAAAAACTATTTTCCTGTACTTTTGCCTCACCTGTGCAAGCTGACATATTTATTATGACAGACGTTCCCAATGTACATGTAGCAAGTGCAGAACTTCTACTGAACCCAAGCATGGCCCAACATTTGTTCAAGTTTTCTCCACCCAGTCCTTAAACTCTATTGTTAGTGTTTTTAGATTATATTGTTCAAAGCAACAAGTCATCCTGTCTGTGTTCCTGCCAGCCCTCCCCACATCCCATACCCAGGTCTGCTCTCAGTACAACCAAACCAAACCAAACAGTACATTCGTCCTACATGTATTTTGGGTGACAAAATAAAAGTTTTGCATACTGTCCAGCATTTTCCAGTTCAATGTCCCCTTGATCAGATTTGGCAATTGATTATACAAAAAGATGACTGTGCTGATGTTGTCTGGATCCATTGCAATCCTGGACCGTTGCGGTGATTCTTAATGTAAAATTGACATCAGTGTCTTCAGAAATGGCTCTTTGACATAAATACATAATTGTACATCTGCTCTGAGACAAACTGCTCAGCTAATAGAACTATAGAAAACTGAAGGATTGTTTTGGTGATAGATATTGGATAGAAGAAGGTGTTATCTCCCTACAAACTTGGATTAGCTTGACAATGTATTTTGACAATTTTTCTCTAGGCGTATGACAAATTCACACTCATGAAGTCATGCAAGAAACTTTTATATGGTACTAGGATGGATAAGAAAAACTCATGAAATCATTAGTTTGTCACATTTAGGCTGAATTATCAAAATCCTTACTATTTTCGTTGGCTATTATAAAGCCATAATACATGTGCATAATATATCTTACTTTAGTACCACCTCCCGGGGTATAGCTCCCCCCCTGATGGCTGCAGTGCAGCTCTCACACCCAGCCTCCACCACCCCCCTGCGGGACTCCAGACTGTTGGCGCCCATGTGGGGGGTGATGATGACGTTGGGCATGTGGAGGAGGGGGTGATCGGGGGGGAGGGGTTCTGGGGAGGTGACATCTAACACTGCAGCCTGGATAGTCTTGTTCTGCAGAGCCTCCACCAGCTGGTCCTGATGCACCACTGGTGCTGCAGGGGACAAACAACAAAAACATTCATGCTGTAGAAGGAACAACATGCACATAAAGAAAAGCACCGACCACATAGTGAGAAACAACTGTGTAATAAACTAGGAGAGGGGAGAAGGTCATAGAGAGAACAGACAAATCTGGATTTCAAGTGTCTGGATAAGAAAGTCAACCCCAGTGATAAATCACCTGACTGTGTACATACATGTACATGTATGGCAGTGAAAAGCTTTCAATATTAATGGTCTAATATTCACAATCATTTACTCACTCAGATTTCTTAACACATTTTTATAATCATTTCATACTTGAAGTGTTTGAAATAGCCCCAAACTAGCTACGAGAGGCATCTCTTTATTTTTGGGGGGGTACCGTCCATAAATAGCCAGAACTACATGTACATTGTAGCTTTATGATACAAGAGAAGCAACTGATTTCTGTCAGCCATTTTGCATTTTTGCTGTACAGATATCAGTATGCTATGGGATCTGGTTGATTAAACTTACCACATTAAAGGAATGGCCAGAAAAAAACACTTTTGCCATCCAGAAATTACATTGGATGCCTTTAATGGGAACTCACCACGTGCGATGTTGATAAAAATAGCAGATGGTTTCATGAGTTTGAACTGTTCCCTGCCCATCATGCCGTGCGTCTGCGGGGTGAGCGGAACGACGATGATGATGAAGTCACAGTTGGGGAGGAGCTGGTCCAGACAGCTGTGGAACTCCAGCCCCAGCGCTGCCTCTCTCTCAGGCTGTCTACATACAACAATCGTGTGTCAGCTTCAGGCTGTCTACATACAACAATCATGTGTCAGCTTCAGGCTGTCTACATACAACAATCATGTGTCAGCTTCAGGCTGTCTACATACAACAATCATGTGTCAGCTTCAGGCTGTCTACATACAACAATCATGTGTCAGCTTCTTACTGCATGACATTGTGATACATCTATCATGTACAGCAGGAGAGTTTGAAAAGTTAACAACTTCTGAAGTGAAACTGTTTTATAATAAATGGGTTGATATTGACCAATAGTTTTAATGAATTACAAATTCTCAACCACTGTGACAATGTTAAAATGTAACCACATAATTTAAGTTTGTTAAGTGGTGTTTTTAGGCTTTGGCAACTTGGCGGCTCGCTTTGGCGAATCCGTGAACCAAGAAATTAAATTGGTGTGGCCTTAGGTGAACCAGCTAGACTACAATATGACTAGAGTGCCAGTGGACTAGAAGGACAACTGCATATACCTCATTATGTCGAAGTACAGGACCTTCATCTTGAAGCCAAGCGCTCTCTCAGCAATCCCGTAGCCAATCCTCCCCAGACCCACAATCCCCAGGGTGGAACCTGTGATCTTCTTACCCAGGATGTTGTAGTTAAACGGAGTCGTCGTGTCTGTAGCTGACTTAATGGCTTAGAGGGGGGGGGTATAACCAAATGGTCAATGGCTGATGATAAAGTTAAACCCAACACAGTTAGTTTGCTGACTTCACAAATGTGTCAACGGTTACATAAAAGGTGAAATGCTACAATATTAAATCAACTTTAACCTAGAGTTCACTAAATGCATAACCCCTGTAAACTTTTGGCTTCAACGGAGTCACATCCTTGAAGGTTAAATGCCATTTGAATGACCTGTTCAAAATTCTCCATCACTTTGCCCTTAGTACACTGAACAGTGTGTAAAGCTGCAGATATTATCTAAGGCCGTGTTTATGTGAAGTCACCCAAGGCGCTTTACATGTGGTTTACCCCGAAGCCGGTTTCAAGTGGCTCCATCTGAACGCTTAATCACATTGAAAGCGCCTCGATCCCAAGCCACTTCTAGAGGTGGTTTCGCATCGGTTTTCCCACATCGCGATTTGCGTCTGAACGCAATGTGATTTCAATGTGACTTCACTTGGTCATGGATTACGGGGTGATATTTCTTTATTTATATGCAATACCAAATTTTACGTGGCAGCAACTTAAAGAGCAGTAATGGTCAAATAATGTGTCCATTCTAGGACGAGCTTCACCGCCTCTGGCGGGGTTTCCGGAAAAGGCTGTGCTGTGCATGTGCATGTGCTGTGCCCCTCTTCAGGGCCCCAAGCCATCACATGTTAAAGCTGCATTATGTAACTTTTTACGCAAAAATTTGAAATATTCTAACTATGCTAAATTTCGGTGTTATCAACAGTTACTATCATTTTTTAACACATTTGTGTCATTATTTCACATTTCTGACGTATATTTTGTGCGTTCAAACAGTTCTTGTTCAGTTCCCGGTGCCACCGGTTTGCTCCGAGTGAGGACAACAACAACAACAGGCAGTGGTTGGCCCCCCTAGTGTGGCTAATTGGTCGGGCATGGCAGGATAGATAGACAGGAGCACATGTCACAAGATTGATTAACTTCTTACTTGGAAACACTCATATCTTTGACATGAAGCGGAATATGATTATCAACTTAGTGTATCTTATTGGGCATCAATGAACTGTGCCATTATCCCTTCAAAAGAGGTAAAAAATCTGGTAAATGATGAGGTCTTTCAGAAATTTGTAAGCTGTCAACTGACGCCCCACTGGGAGGTACATGTACCATATGTGGACAATACCATATGTTAGTCTCCACCAGACTCCGATCCTTTGCAGGCTGAATAAATAGTAGAAATTGGCTAAGGGGACATCATTGGCCAGAGGAGTTGGCCGGCCATAGAGGGTCCAGCTTACCCGCAGGAGACTAACCATACATGTATGTGCGGTGTGGCCAGAGGTTTGAATAGAAGATCATTCACAGTTTTGTAAGCTTATAAGGAGCAAGGATGTTGTATTTTTGTTGCTGCGTATTATTCTGGAACACTAAAGGGTTAAGTCAACGTACTATGTAAAGAAAAGAATGGAAAGATACTTTTTGTATTGTCAAAAGTCACATAATGCCCCTTTAACATGTGATGGCTTGGGGCCCTGAAGAGGGGCACAGCACATGCACATGCACATGCACATGCACAGCACAGCCTTTTCCGGAAACCCGTCCCGCCCGGGACCACGTCGGCATTCGGCGGAGATGCGCTGGGAGGGGGGCATCAGCAAGTAGGTCGTTGACTCTGACATTAATAACAGGCCACCTTGCTTGTTTTCATCAAACAACAATGAATGTAGCTCAAGCGAATTGTGATCGGACATGGTTTCAAAGGAATGTGTGGCACGTGGACCAGATGTGAGGAATGTGAGTTACCCAAATCGCGGTTTGGGTGACTTCACATAAACACAGCCTAACACAGGAGGTACCTTCAGGCAGCCTCCTGGCAGCTGCAGTCAGCAGTGTCATGCCCCAGTCTGCCACACAGTCACTACTCACATCAGGCACACTGGAGACTTTGATACCTCTGGACTTCAGCAACTGTAAGGCATTAGAGCGACGTGACACACCTTAACTGATACCAATGGTCTGTACAAGAATAGGACAAGTGCTACTGAAGTCTGACATCTGGAATCAGGAGGTCTTCATTTCACATGGTCATAACTGTCAACTGAAGCACAGAACTTGGACTTTTCTCATTCAATAAACAATTATTTTTAAAAAATGTGTATAATTGTCCAGTACATACCTGTTGGTCAGTTCTACATGTCCAGTACATACAGTACAGATCGCGGGATAAGCATCATCGGGATTCGGGATTTTGCGGGATATCCCGCGGGAGTTTGCGGGATATCACGCGGGAGACTGCGGGATATCCCGCGGGAGTTTGCGGGATATCACGCGGGAGATTGCGGGATATCCCGCGGTATTCTTTCGGGAGGCCTGTCGTGTCCCGCGTACCGCGTAGCGAAAAAACTTGGTGCGAGACCCCGAAGTCTGCCGCGGCTCGGAACGGCGATGGCGGCGTGTCAAATGTTTATTTTTACGTCCTGCCGGGCGATCTGTGCCGGGCCGATGGAGTCTGACGCCAGTCAACTTTGCTACAATTTTGCTACAATTTTGATGGTGTTGAAGCATAGGAATGTACGAAAATAATGTGTATAAGGTGTTTCTCACGCGGTCATAGTTATTATAAAATTGCTACTTTTTTTTCAAAGCTATTGTTCAGCGCAAACTTTAACTTTAAGAAACTACCGTGAATGAATACAATGTAACGTGTAGTACTCCCTCCGTCTCCGGTAAATTCGGCAAGATTGTTACCAAGAAATAAAAATTATGAGGCGTACCGGCAGTAGTTTGTGGTTGTGTTTCATAATCTTGTAGCTGTTGTCTTCTCATGGGTAGCTTGCGTCAAGAGGTCTCCGTATTAGTATTAAGAATTGCGACAATTAAAAGTTTGCCCATCAAAATCCCGGGGCGTGCGTCTCCCCCCTCCCCCAAAACTCTTGCATCAACAACGACCATGTCCATAATTAATTTCGATAGATTGCTATCACCCTGAAAGTAAGTACTGTGTCCACGCGGCTGGCAAAGTTTCTTTCGGTAGGAAAACATTCTACTTCTGTCAGCTACGGGGTCAGCCAACTAGATGAAAACGGAGTCGATTTTTTAACAGAACAACGCTATAAACTTAGCGCACGTCAAAGACACGGGAGAACCCGAAAAATAAATAAACACGGGAGAACCCGAACTAAACGTGTTTATGCAAAATTTGACGCAAATTAATTCGTTCTCAGACCATAAAACTTGAAATTCACTCGGTACACTCCGTGGAACTAGCCTCCTCACATGTGAAAAACGTTGTTTTTGAATGAAATCGGGATATAAGAAAATTACAATGCCGCATGCCGGCCGTGCAGGGCGGAAAAAGAAGCTACAATCCGACGTACGTATAACCAAGGACATTATATGTCCTTGGTATAACAATCGTCAGGCGGTGTTTCTTTGGGGCGGCGCATCTGACTCAACTCTTGGAATTCACGGCCCGGCTGGTGGGCGGGTCCCCTTCTGCGCGCTGTGATTGGCGCGCCAGAACGCCACGTGGTCTGTCGGCGCCGGGGAGTCTGCCAGCGCCGCTGCTGGCGACGTGCGGTTTCTATGGCGACGCGGCGTGGGAACGCCCGGCCCAACACTGGGGGTCTGCAGGCCCTTTTTCGTAAGGCGTAATCAGGCGTTTTTTTATTCATTGTCTTCGTAAACCGTAGGCAACCTTCCCTAAAATCAACGTAATTCGTAATCAGTACATTAGCCGCAAAGCGTAAAGTCGTAATCAGCTCTGAAACTTTAACTTTATAGCGAAAATTTTGCGTAATTCGTAATCACTAACCCCCATGCAGGCCCTGAACACTGCGTGGCGCACGAAATGTATCAAAGTTTGAGGCGTAAAGAACCCTTGAATTATGCTTCGCCCCCTTGTTTTACACAATGTTTAATCTCTCTTCCGTAACTCCATACGTCAACCTCCCCTATCTAGGAGAAAAATAAAGAACTCGAGTGGCGATTTGGCACGTCGATGCGTTAGATTTTTTAAAAATTATATCTGAAATAGCGCGGGTCGGGTGACATCAAAATAAAGCCGTCCACGTCGCAAGGCCGGACACAAAACTTGTTCAAGAAGGTTGTATTACTTTGTTATCGTTCTATATCTTATTAAGCCACCAGATTTCCGATATTAAAAAAAGAAATGTTTGGTTAAAAATACTATTTGCTCTACCGCATGCATTGAAAACATACTAAAACATGCACGCATCGTCTGTCTGCGTAAAAATCTGTAGTCAACGCGGTTCAACTTCAAGTAACAGCGGCGCCGGCCCTTCGGAAACCTAAAGTCTCACACCGAAGATCGGGGTTGCGGGAGAGGATTTCGTACCGCGGGATATCCCGATAAATCCCGCAGGAGATCCCGCAAACTCCCGCAGGAGATCCCGCAAACTCCCGCGGGAGGTACCGCAAACTCCCGCGGGATATCCCGCAAACTCCCGCGGGATCTCCCGCGGGACTTGATGCTTATCCCGAGATCTGTACCTGTTGGTCAGTTCTACATGTCCAGTATATACCTGTTGGTCAGTTCTCATGTCCAGTATATACCTGTTGGTCAGTTCTACATGTCCAGTATATACCTGTTGGTCAGTTCTCATGTCCAGTATATACCTGTTGGTCAGTTCTACATGTCCAGTACATACCTTTTGGTCATTTCTACATGTCCAGTACATATGTATACCTGTTGGTCAGCTCTACATGTCGAGTATATACGTATACCTGTTGGTCAGTTCTACATGTCCAGTATATACCTGTTGGTCAGTTCTGCATGTCCAGTATACCTGTTGATCAGTTCTCATGTCCAGTATATACCTGTTGGTCAGTTCATGTCCAGTATATACCTTTTGGTCAATTTCTACATGTCAAGTATATAAGTGTTGGTCAATTCTTATGTCCAGTACATACCTGTTGGTCAGCTCTACATGTCCAGTACATACCTTTTGGTCATTTCTACATGTCCAGTACATATGTATACCTGTTGGTCAGCTCTACATGTCGAGTATATACGTATACCTGTTGGTCAGTTCTACATGTCCAGTATATACCTGTTGGTCAGTTCTGCATGTCCAGTATACCTGTTGATCAGTTCTCATGTCCAGTATATACGAGGGTCTGCATGCCCTTTTTCGTTAACCGTTATGGGCTATTTTAATTCACCGTTAATCGTTGCCGGCCCGCTCTAATTCAACGTTAAGCGTTATCGGTATATTCCTCGTGAAGCGTTATTGGCCGTTTTAATTCAACGTAAAACGTTATTTGTCATCCTAAATTCAGCGTTAAGCGTTAATGAGTAATTCTTCGTTACGCCTAATTTTGCCTTTCAAAGTGCAGGAAAATGTGTCATTGAAGGTTTAAAAATACAAAATTTCCCGGGGGAGAATGCCCCCGGACCCCCCTACATTGCTCGCGCCTTTGGCGCTCGACTCGCGCTTCTGCGCTCGGTCCCTTCGGCTCTAGCCAGAACCAGTTTTCCCTTCAATTTCCGGAAGTTTGCGGAGAGTTACAGAATTTTCTTAACGAATCCGTCAACCTTGACAGGCAAATTAACAAAAATCTTGAGTAAAATATGAAAATATCAGAAGGACCGACAAACACTCTCAACACCATGATTTGCCTCTCAAAATGCGGGAAATTGCGTTTTTGAAGGCTTAAAAATCCTAATTTTCCCGGGGGAGCATCCCCCCGGACCCCCCAGTTTGCGAGCGCCTTCCGCGCTCCCCTCTCAAAATCCATCGGTAAAACTGGGCAGACTGAAAAAATGCAAGCTGGCCAATGTTGACTCGGACTCCCCTTTATTTGTGGACGCATTAGGGGACCAGGGCAGGTGGGAAACACAGGGAACACATACCTTTAATGCGTGCTTCATTACATGTAAGGTATACGTAATTTTGTTTATAGTGATCACCTTTTCTCACAAAGCAAGATATTAAATCCAGTGCAGCTCGAAAAAAAGCCTGTCAATTTACCGTTAAGCGTTGCCGACCGTCCTGAATTTACCGTTAAGCGTTATTGGCCCTGCTGAATTTACCGTTAACCGTTGCCAGGACCCCCCCATGCAGACCCCAATTCTTATGTCCAGTACATACCTGTTGGTCAGCTCTACATGTCCAGTACATACCTGTTGGTCAGTTCATGTCCAGTATATACCTTTTGGTCAATTTCTACATGTCGAGTATATAAGTGTTGGTCAATTCTTATGTCCAGTACATACCTGTTGGTCAGCTCTACATGTCCAGTACATACCTGTTGGTCAGTTCTACATGTCGAGTATATACGTATACCTGCTGGTCAGTTCTACATGTCCAGTACATACCTTTTGGTCAGTTCTACATGTCCAGTATATACCTGTTGGTCAGCTCTACATGTCCAGTACATACCTGTTGGTCAGTTCTACATGTCGAGTATATACGTATACCTTTTGGTCAGTTCTACATGTCCAGTACATACCTGTAAGGTGGGGTCGTGTGGCGTAGCGGCAAAGTCCTCGACTCGGAACCTAGAGGTCCCGGGTTCGAGTCCTGACATGCCACCGATCTTGTGCCCTTGGGAAAGGCACTTTACACGACTTTCCTCACTTTGCTCAGGTGAAAATGAGTATTGTATTGTCCCCATTGTTGGTGGCGGCATTAATATAAGTTTGAAAAACTTGAATGTGCCGCCACCACGTCTTGTGATTACATGTTGGAAATTATTTTTAAAAAATACCTGTAAGTCCAGATGATCCATCCCGACACTCAGTGTACTGATGATCCTCAGGTTTGGCAAGGTGTCCAGGAGTTCTGCAGTGACTTTGGGGAGCTGCAGGACAGACATGAATTGTTCTTTGAATTCCTTACTCCTGTTTAGGCCACACCGACTTAATTTTATGGATGACATCCACACGCGCATTGATTTTCACCTGTTCTGAAAAAAAAAAAGGATCATGTCTACCAAGGCTCTGGCCTGGCTCTAGGCCTGGGTAGTCCATGGTAGTTAGCGACAATATGGAGCCGGTGGTAACTCTGGAGGATGGCACGCAGGCTACCGAAGATCCACGACTCGAACTCAGTACATACGCACAGTGCCGACTCATAAATTTCACAAAAAGCCGGCATGTGCCGCCTTGTAATATAGGTCACTATGTACTTAACGCAAATTCACAATACCTGGTCCAGCTTTGTATTCCTGTGGTACAGTAGCATTTTTATTTTTGGCCGGAATTTTTTTATTCGCCCACATGCACTAGTTTGGGGGTCTTCAGAGGATGTCATCCATAAAATTAAGTCGGTGTGACCTTACAGAGAGAGGAGTGCGTCTGTACCTCATGTCTATACAGGAAAATATCTGAAGTTATTGATGCATTTTACCGTAAGGCCATGTTGGTTTCATATATGGATGATATCCACATGTGCATACATTTTCCTCCATTTTCAAAAAAAGTTTTCGAGCATACTGTAAATCGAACAAAGCAGCTGCTAAATGAGTAAATACTAGTATATGCAATAAGTTGCAAAAAATATTGGAAAACGATACTAATGTCGTAGAATACCAAAATCAATTCCAAAGGAAAAGAAGAAAATGTGAAGAAATGAAAGTCTATTATTCACCATACAATACTTAAGTCATATTTTGTTCCACCTTCATGACCATGTAGATTTTATATGAAGGCAACTTTTTTGCCCACCTTTTTTATTCGCACGCTCGCATCAGTTTTGGGGTACCCAAAGGATGTCATCCATATAATCAAATCAACATGCCCTTATTTCATCAAAAATGGACTTATGTTATGAAAACAGTCTGAACTGATGTGAATGCATGTTCAGCACCATGGCCACACCCACAATGTTAAGTTGTCTGCCACATGGTACACTGATTTTGATACATCTTCCAAAACACATTAATTTTGTATCCCCACTGAGTAACATGTTGCTGGGCTGGTCTAATGATCTAGTATGCTTACATGTACATGATGAGATTTCCTCTGTGATGGGCTCTCTTCATCCTTTGCATGAACTGTCCTGATTTTAATTTTTCTTTAGTTGCAAAGACTAGGACAAGTGGCAATGCACTCATGATCAATAACTTACCTTAACAATGCCACATACACTAAGGACAAAATAGCTCAAGATACTAAATAATAAATTAAATATAGAAAATAATAGTGAGTGAGTGAAGTGTGCCAACCTCATTCCCTAGAAATATCAAATGATAATTACAAGCCAACACATTAAATGATGTATAAGTTGGAAAAAAAACAGAAGTCATATAATTTTATATACTCACCCCTCCATTCACCAACACCCCTTGTATGTGCCTAGCATATCTCTCCATGTCTTTTTCGAAATCTTCCCACCACACAACTTGGAAGTATTTTTCCATGACAGGTACGAATATCTGCGGATAGGCGAACAGCTCATCCACGTGTGACGTCAGAACCATTGGTTTGTCCCCCACATCTGATGATGCCATTTTCTGGGATGCTCTTTTCCAACTGTGATATCTCCAGGCTTGTATACTGAAAGTGGAGGTGGAAATTTACAGTTAGGCCACAACATTTAATTTCTTGGTTAACGGATTTTTCTAGAAAAATAATGGAGCGGGTGGGCGAAAAAAATAAAAACAGGCCTAGGTATCCTATTATGGCCCAAAATGGTATGATATGAGCCATGAAGTCAACACACCAGGCTGGTTCAAAATTTAAACGATGAATTTTGAACTTTTAATGATACCATTGCATTGAAAGATGGAATAACTGTAACAGCTAGGAAGAAAAGGACTGTTTTCAACTGTTCAAGGCAAAATATTATATATATTGAGCATTTTGCAGTTGATCGATTCTGAATTTTTTTTTTTACAAATCAGAAAAAAATGAAGCAGGCAAACCCGTTAACCAAGAAATTAAATTGGTGTGGCCTTAGCATCCTGTAAAAAAGAATACAGTGCAGATTTATGATTTTATGGGTGACATCAACATGTGCATCAGTTTTTGTTTGCTTCCCCAAAAAAGTGTCTTTGCCAAGAAGGCATGAAAGTTCATCTGTGTTGGTACAAATCATTATGAATTAAAGACTAAGCTTTAACTTCCAACACTTAGATTACAGAATTGGGACTTACCCAAATTTAGTCTTTATTTCATAAAGGTTGTTATTCATTGGTTTGGTATTGAGAAAATGTACTTTTTAGCTTCAATGTCCCTTTTTTATGTTGAGGCTTATACTGAACTTTTGAACACCTGTTGATTTAATTTCGGCTTTATATCAATTGTCTAGACTTTCAATCATTATGTTGCATACTTATCATTACACATAAAGATGTAAACAGATGTACAGTTGAAAGTGTAAAGTATTTATTGTACTTTTTTCATAGCATTGCCAAGTGTTTTGTGTGTTCAATTTTACTGCAAACTTTTTGAACACTTGAGTTTCAAAATCAAGGCATCTGTTTTTTTTTCTCCCTTTCTCCTCTCACTTGTTTGGTGATTTACCTGAGTTTTTGGTTGTCTAGAGGATGTCATCCAGAAAATTAAAGCAGCTTCTGATAGTATGGTGAGTCTAGGCAATGCTTAATCTCCAACCTTGAGAATACGTAATCTCCAATCTTGGTAATTTAATCTTCAGAATGCTTAAGACCCAAGCAGATCCTCCCGTGGCCCACTGACCTATCGGCTATCCTCTTGGCCGTCAGTTACGGTTTTGCCACTGGACGATCTATCTACATCTACATCTATGATCATCTATAAGTTACTGAACAATGCCCTCACGGGGCTTCACGTTCAGGTGCACGACATATGCGGCCAGGTGGGGTGCTGGTGCTCATAAAAAAATCAGCATAAAAAGAAAGAGTGTAGACAAGCGAAAACAAATTTGTGCAGTGAAATATGTACATGGCCGCGAAGACATACCTGATTTACAGCTGGGAGCTGGGGAGGCCCATGTGCTGGGCCAGCCCCAACTTGAAGCTGTCGACTGTTGGTAGTGTGACTATGTGCGAAGGTAAAATGTTCCACTCACCGACCGTTCTTGGGAAGAAACTGGCCTGGTAAGTGTCTGTTTTGCAGGTGAGAGTTGTGTAGCGGAGCGAGTGCCCTCTCGTAGGGTTAGTGTTCTTGGTAAGATATTCCTGTACTGGGATTGCTATCAAACTGTTGACAGCCTTGTAGAAGAGGACTAAGCGACAAAACTACCGAAGTAACGGGTTCCTTTCTCAGCACTGGGTATACAGAGGTGAGGCGGCTTCCGTCCTAGATCTCCGGTGCCGAAGGGACGTCAACACTTGGTGTCCAGTGTTGGCGGCTTCAGCACTGGAAACTTGGAATCAGCAAACCAAATATTGTCTTTAAAAAGGGTATCTGCCTTTGATCTCTAACACTCGATATTTTCGAGATCATACAGCCTGGTTAACAAAGTTTAATCCCGGACAAGGTGATCGTCAGGACGGGACTGCACGGCCTCTTTTCTTACAGTTTCACAGACATAAACTTGGCCTAAGATACTGTTCTGTACGCCGCGCGGCCGACGTAAGCACCAGACGCCCTGTGCCGAAATAGTTTGAGAACTCGTCTCCGAGCGCCAAGAGTCACCGAGCTATGGAACGATTCATTGACGAACCCGTTACTTGGGTACTTCGGCACTTGCTATCCAGTGGTGAACTGCCTCCGAGCACTGGCAAGCGAGTGCCGAGTGGAATTCAGCACCGGCTATCCAGTGGTGAACGGCCTCCGAGCAATGGCAAGCGAGTGCCGAGTGGAATTTAGCACTGGAAAACGAGTGCGGAGTCGAGATTCAGCTCTGGAATTCCACTTCTGGCAGAGCTTCAGCACTGGAAAAAAAGCCGTTCAGCACTAGAATTCCTGTGCGGTGTTTTCTTCCACACTGGGCCCCCAGTGCCGACGCCACTTTCCCCGCGAATTCATCACTGGGTGGCCAGTGAGGAACCCGTTACTTCGGTACCCTTGTGATCTGTTGGGAGACTAGCGAATACTGCCGATGGCCAGGGGAAGTATGAACACCAGCTGCTCTACCGATCGGGAGGGAGGGGCGATGTTTCAAATCTGTTCACCGACTATAATTATTACTGTCGGTGAACATTAGAAACATGTAAATAAAACATGGCGCTGACCTGCAAAGTAATAAATGACTCACTAGAAATCACCTTCTGAGAACAAACACCTTTGTCCGGCTCAGGACCATGCAGGCTCAGGATGACACCAGGTAATCTCAGACAGATGACACGTCAACTCACCTGTGACAAGTGATGAGTTTTTAAAGTCCGACATTCACACCCTCTCATTCGGTGCTTGATACACTGTGAACATGATTATTCTGGGGTTCAATGAATATAAAGCTATTGGACGAAGTTTGCCTTTATGCGAAGATGTTTACTCTTATACCAAATCGAATGCACGAAATAAATACGTTGTTACAAGCGGCTAACGTAGTCGAAGTTATGGCAGACGTCGAATATTCTATCCGTTTTACACCCAGACTGTCCTCCATTGTTCGAGTCTGTAGTCAACCGTGACGACAACTCACGTCATACGTGCAGCTGCGGCTGGTATATTGTAGTACAACACAAACTCACGCTACCCACACTAACAGGTGTATAAATGTGACATTTATATGGATTTGATGGAAAAATGAAAATGAATTAATATCTAGTGACCACAGTAAGAATTGGAAAAGTGTTATTGTCAAATGTGTAGAAAATAGGACATTATAAGTGACCTTGCACAGTTTATGGATAGTGACTAAAGAGGCCAAGGACACGCATAATATAGAGATACCAAAATTACCTTTAATGATTCACATTCCCTAAATTCCCCCTTTCACATCTTTTTTGTGTGTATTCACATCATTTTACATTTCTTCTAGTTGTTCCACCAACTTCACATCATAAAAGTTACATTCATAACCCCTGTCACCTAAAATCTCCCACAAATAGTTCGATATGAGCTATCATGGTGTGATAGAATGGTTTCCTCTATATCGGTCCTCATGTGTCTCTGCTACTATAGCTACTCACGATAACTCGATCCAGACTTGCCGGCCCCTGAGTGGGCTTGTTGCCTCCCTACAGACCACTGATGGTCATACGCAGAAGGGGAAATTGTTTATTGGCATGTAGAAAGTCGTGCGGGCATTGTCGTCGCTAATTTCTGTCTCATAAACGATAGTCGCCATTTGAAACGGTCGCCATATTGCGGAACGGCAAACTTTAAGTGTGTTGTAAGACCACTCCGTCCACATTGTGAATTGTTTAGTGGTGTAGAAGATAACGTTTTTAGTGTTAGACTTTTTGACCTGGATTCCAATCCGAGCTTGGACTTTTTCTTTTTTCACTAATAACTATTTTTACAATCTGGCGTAATTTTTGCAATTGAAATGTTGCTTTGTATGCGTTGTGAAAACTTGATCGGTGGCATGTCAGAACTTGAAACTTGAAACCCTAAAACCTCCTCTCGCCATTGACAATACATTACGAGAGGAGGTTTTGAGATTAGACAAGACATTAGAAAAGATAGGAAATAAAGAGGAGAGATCTTTTGGGGCCCAGGTGCGTCGACCAAGCGCATCAGGTGGGACAACTGGCGCCATCTGCACCTGTAACAGGGGGGAAGAGATCTTCTCACCTGTTAGTGATGACGTCATACCATCCCGTCCCATACAATACGATACGATACGGTAAAACATTCAAGTGGGAAAATGTCCATATATGGTAAAAGGAGGGTTTATACCGACTATACCGATACAGATACAGATACATGTAACTGTAGTTATTTCTTTCATGGGCAGTTGATTAATTGATTAATGCCGAGTACTTCAAACACAGCTTTGAATTTGTGTGACTCCAACATCTGTGGGAAATCATTCACGCAATACAGCTGGTTTTGAAACTGACTGCGGATTGACTGTAGCCTGTATAAACTGTAGAAATAGCTTTTAACAAGAGTCTAGATGACAAACCTAGATCAAATTGATACGTCCACGAAGCAGGCGAAAAGCTGTTGGAACTGAGTTGGAAATTGGTGTTTTTAACACAAGGGTACTATCTGAGGATATGTGGGTTGTTTTCAAGAATATAATCCTGTTGAGTTTGATGTGTAAGGTTTTATTTTCTTCAAGGAAAGTCTAAATCCATTTGTTAGGATCGAACCGAATAATTCTCCTCACAGGCTTGAGATACCAATTTACAGAATTTTCATTAATTATGCAAATCTGATCCTAATATACATAGATGTCATTTGATTATGTCAAGCATTTCTTAAGGTACCCACATACAAAAAATCATAATGATCCGACAAATGGTTAATTGAATTCCCCCCCCCCAAACGCCCCTGTAGTTCCAGAGCAAGCTGCTTGAGAGATGTCTCGTCTTCGCGACTACAAGAGCTATCTCCAGGTCACGATATATCAAAACCAGACGTTACCAATGCCTTAACATGACAATCCATTTATAGTTTCTTGTGTTCTCGTGATAACCACACGCGCGCACACACACGCACACATACATACAAACGCTACCAAAACTTAACCTACTACTTGGGGACCCAACGTATATCACTTTTTCCAATATCCATCTATCACTACAAAATCTTATTAAACCACTGTATGTCCTGAACACGAGATACGTAAACTGGAAGTTCTGCTGCAATACCATACAAAACCGCCAGGATGCCCACAATCGAACAGTTACTAGTATTTGTTTTGCCGAACACAGCGATTTGTTTTGCCGACCCACATACCAAATGTCGTACAAATCCGTTCTCGGCACCTTGCGTTACAATGTATGCTGCTCACAAATATACCAACAAACGGCACAGAAAGCCCATAATTTTCTTGGAAAATGTAATGTTAAGTTTAATAACTAACTGATTGTTATGGTCGTGTGAGAAAATTATATTTTGTGTGAGCCATTGGCAAAGAATTCAATCAAGGAGCTCCTTTATCATGTATATGGCTGCTTATATCTGACACTGCGTTAGATGGAAGCTTCACTTGCTGTCTTCAAAACTGACGATTCCAGTTTACCAAATACAACAGAGAAACAATCAAACCGTCGCGATCAATCCGAATATACCGTACGTATGTACGCTTTTTGTTTTTTAAATCCGTTTAATAGCCATGCTCTCCTTGTAACCTTCTAACTCCATGTTGTAACCGAAACACCCCCGTCACCCAGGGGCAGTGATTTAAGCGCCTGCCTCATGTTTTTCCAAACAAACGACTCAGTGATGGTGATATTTTGAATAAGAAAGGGACCCCTCTGAAAACACTATTGACGGAAATCGTGTCCACTCCTTTCTTTCAGCGGGCAGCTTTAATTCAAATGCGGGTCCCTGAACCCAGGGGTCCTTTCTCTGCAAAATGAAGCTATTGATAAACCAGATATTAAAGTGTTGACCCACTGTGGCTCTCTGAGCGACTCCTGAATTGTATATCAGTCCAAGAACAGAGCGCGGCAGACCTCCAGCGGTCTGAAACTCCTCCTCGCCTCATCGCTCAAACGCGCCTGCCACGGTGACCTTCTCGCGGTCTCCTCAGAGACGGCAGCCACCTGGCCCCGACGACACGTCGAGAGAGCACGGCACTCGCATTCACACGCACACCATGGACTCAACAGGTATTTTGCTTGGTCATGTAGCAAGTTACTAGTTTAATTATAGGCTACACTTCAGAGTAGCCAAGACGGCTCAATCTTAGAACTGTGTGCGATGTGCATCACTGGTTGAATCTAAAGGCCGTTGCCTGGGGAAGAATGAGATTTTAATCCATAGATCGTATAGACAATCCAAGTGGTCCACCACGCCACCGAAAGCATTTTGGTTTGCTCTTTGCGCTCTGTCAACGAAACTTTCTCTAGGACCGGGTTGACTCCTTGGATTGTTATTCCCATGCTACTTTTTTCGAAATGACGAACTACTCTGCGCAGATGAACTAATATAGGGTGAAGTAGAGGCTTGAGTTTTCAGGGCTGAGGGCAGACCTACGTACCTGTTGAGTGTCACGAAGTTGGGATATGCAACATATTATTTATCAAGCTACGTTATTGGACGCAACAAATCTCTGTCTGAATATGATAAGTATACCCAATGAAGGTAGATGTGCCTGATTTGATAACCAGACCAGTTCTTTTAATACTGTTACTTAGTAAAGAATTATTGTTGCGAATAGGTGGCTTCCTTGGCAGAACGTAAAACGAATTACTCTGTCTGCTGAAGTCACAGTCATCAGGCTGTTGTTATTGTAGCACACAGATGTGAAGAAACTGTTGAGATGGTGTCTCTACATTCTACATGTTTGTACATGCGGTCTTGAACGCCCTCTATAAACGACAGTTGGCACCCTGTTGGTCTTGCATTGTTGCCTTCATTGAATGCACAATTCACTTCAAGTTCAGAAGGCCAGATTCATGATGAAAAGCAACCTGTGACTCATGGATCGTTAATCGCGAGCGAGCCCGCAAACAGTTTCGACGGGTGACAGATTTCTGAGTGAATCGCCGTTGTAAATGGGGGAAAACTATTGTATCAAACATTTTATTGATGGGATGAAGGTCTGGTGACATTATACTTGACAGGCTATTCTCATGATTTAAGATTTCTAAAGGAAACAATTTTCTGAAGATAATCGTCTCCGTCTCAGCAACCACCAGTGATGCTGTACAAATTATCTACCCAACCTGACATCGTCTTTCATATTCGTTTTCAGTACAAATAGGCCCAGATTTACGCAATTTGCGATATCTCATCGTTAGCCTGTTCGACTTTGGGATTTTCCAACTTCTTATAGTTTGTTGTAAGTATTTTTTTTTGTTTCTTGTTATTTGAAGAAATGACTCTTTTGCGATTTTGTTTTGTTCTCATTCTCGTCCCGGACGTAAAATTAGACTTGGTCATACAAATGCTAATCTGGTGGGGCCACCAGCCTCGCTAGCTCCCAGTGGAGCAAGTCCCTGTGCCCCTTGAGTGTTTACCATCTCCAAATGAATAGCCATGGAAGATGTTACAATAATCTGTTTACCAATTCCACACATTGGGCTTGTACATAACGTCGCATTTGTCGTTTGAGACGATTGCTACTTTGAGATGTGTGCACTACAGTCCTCACAAGTTTTCCACGAAGGCCAGGAGCACGCCAATCAGCGAACAGAATTCTGTGATGCTTAGAACCCCGAGTTACTGTTCTGAATCGGTATGTGTGAGTGTCCACTGGTCCGGAAACCATACCGTGTATAGCGTGACATACAGAACATCAGTCGAGATCAGACGTTTAGTTTAAAATGTCCCCGCTGGAAACTAAAAGTTCTGAAATGACGTTTTGAAAGCTGGCACTCGGGAGACGTGCTCGCCGGATTACCAAGTGTGAAACAGGATCAGATACGGGGAAGACATTACTAAACCACCGTTGGCGTTGCCCTATGAAATACTAATTTCACCATATATCTGAAAACAATTGACAATTAAAAACTTCTTACAGTTTCAATATGTTTCCAAGGAACAAACCACCTGTTCACTTGTGCTGCGCCTGGACGAGACTAGGCTGAGGTTACAGGATGCAACTTAGATAGTGTACTACAGCCAAACGTACTGAAAGGTTCATCTTTAGTTACAAAAGTAACCTCCCATTTCTACCCAGTCGAGTGAGAATCAGTTGAACGTTTCGTCTGTTGTTTCGGAATGAATGTGACTGTGTGTCTGTCGTCAGGTGGGTCGGGTGGAATGAATAAGTGGATGAATAAATGAATGAATGGTTTATTTCAATAGGATAAAAATCAACCACATAGCAGCCATAATGTGACTGTACTGAGGTATGATTTACAAAATTACAATCAGTAAGGCACTTTTATTAACGACAAGGGAATACAATTAGAGCACAATACAAGATCTAGTGAATATGAACAGGAATGCATTGTGTAAGGATGCATAGGACTAAATAAAAACAAGGACGTTTTGATAGAAGGTCATTGATAAAAGTAACACAAATATTACTGTCATAGACCAAGAACGTTCTATCGCGTAGAGCGTCCTTGCATAAACAAATTACCGGTCAAGATCAGCTATTATTTAATTATTTATCCAGAAACGGCAAGGTACTGTTTTATAACGTTCTGTAGCTGAACTTGGTGAATTTGCCCTTGAATCTGAGTGCTTTGCCGCGTATGTTCTCGCCATTAGGCGGTAAGCGGGAGATTTTACTACAGACTGTGCAAAGTCCATATAGTGAATGAATGAATTAAGACCTTTATTGCACATTTTTGCCACACTTGGCTAAGAACAGGTCACAACAAAGCAAGATGAACGGATGTAGTTAACAGATACAAAGGATCGTCATATAAATTGAGGGCGCCCTTGGTACAGAGTAGTTAGTCAACACAGTTAGCTCAATGCTTATGTTTTTCTAGAGAGACGAAGCCATTAGAACTTAGATCAATATCACTTAAACATATATTTCTTTTTTTTATTCTATTTTTAGCATTGTATACCTTAGACCTAATGTTAGCCTTTCTTTATTACTATTGTTGTAGTACTCTCTAGTACATTGTACTTTGTACATCTGTGCATTTATCCCCCCGGGGAATGAACATGCAATAAAGTTTCATTTCATTATTTTCATCTTATTTGTGTCCATTTGTATTTCTAGTACTAAATGATGATCCTGGACAAAACGTGATGATGTATTTTCGGCTATTTTGGGCCCCTTTAGGAGTCACGTCCGGTGAAAAACGGAAACTCGTAGTGAAAAAGTAGACTTACATCATATGGACACATTTTGCTTTGTGAAAAGTCAATCCATGGCCTCCTTATGTATCTAGTGTTAAGCCCATGACGTTCATAAGATGGTAGCAGCTACCGTTTTGTTTTATATGTCCATAAGCCATATTTGACAGCTATATGTAAAGTAACATCAATGCCTATTTTTGTGGGTATTAGCTCAGACTCTTCCCAACAAAGGTGACGTGGGATCCCACTAAGACTACGAGAATTGAATGAAGATGACTTGTGGCCATTTTGATTCCGTCATTTTTCTAACCCCCCCTCCCGTCCTTTGTCCGTCTCCGTTGGTTTCCAATCCCTAGCATGAAAGGCGCTTGATGAGGTAACAATACTATCAAGCATCTATTCATTTATAAATATGCAAGGATGTGAATAGAAGAGAGAAAAGCACTACACAATGTGACTTGGTTTGGCTGCTCTAACGATTGTGTTTACAGAGACATTCTAAAAAAAACCCGTTTATGTCAGGGGTTGTATATATTAGCCTCCGATGTAGACGTTTCTAGTGGTCTAAGTTTGTTTCTATGAGCGCGGCGGTTTCTTTTCGCTGGCAGAGGGCTATATCGGGTGGAGGGCTACTAGTATATTGGGGGGGGGGTTGTATCGTGGCGAGGGTTACATCATGTATATCTAGTCTCCACCAGACTGCACGGAGCAGGCAAAATGGACCTTCTCTGAGCGGCCCACTCCTATGGCTAATGATATCCCCTTTCACAGGCCGATTTCTACTATTTCATCAGCCTGCAAAGGAGTCTTGTGTAAACTAGGCTATATCAGGCATGCACGTAGCCAGGGGGGTTCGGGGGTTTTGACTGATTTGTATTATCCTAAAAAAGAACTGCTCACTTTGTCATTGAATAAAAAGTTATTTCTGACTTTTCCTTTGAAATCCCATCGAAAACGCAGGGAATGCCATTTCCTCTAGCGAACGAGCGCCTTTGGCTCGCTGGTCCCTCACACAGTGGGAAGAACATCCCCCCCCACACACACACACCAAGCAAAGTCCTGGCTACGGGCATGTCGGGGGAGGGCTATGTCAGGGGGGGTAGGGGTATGGTTGTATCGGGACGAGGGCTATATCATGGAAGGGCTGTATTAGAGAAGAAGGGGTAGGGTTGTATCGGGAAGAGGGCTATATTGGGGGAAGACTGTATTGTGGGGAGAGGGGGGAGGGACTGTATGGGGGGGGGTTGTATCGGGGCGATGACTTTCCTTATGCGGAACAACTTTACTGAAATATGAAATGATGTGAATACACAGAAAACATTTGAAACTGTGGAATTTGAAGAATGAAATGGGAAAAAATATCCTGGACGCTAAACGCTATTTTTTTACAACGCTTAGTTCTCTTAACGCGTGGTATTACATAAATCCGGGATTTTAAAAAATAGCATATGTAGGTATTTATGATAGATGCAATTATATTTTGCAATATCAGTGATACAGTACCAGAAGTGCAAACATAAGTGACTAAAGTTTTCCTAACACTGTTAAGAAAACTTAATTTCGAAAACAACGACGTCAGAAATTTTCTGACGCCTTTCCACTTTAAGATCGCGCCATGGTAGATTTGTACTAAAGTGTTGTTCGCGGGAATATCACAGAAATTCCATATCCGCTTCGAACTCAACACACTTACATATTCCTGTATTACAACATCCAGTTGTCACTGAAACATCTTTGAAAAAAAGTTTTCAATCATTGTACAAATTGTTTTCATTAAGTGGGAACATCACATATACACAGCCATCATCACATATATATAAAAGGAATGAAAAACTTCACTGCATCAAAGTAGAAGACTAACGAATAAATCAGAGCCTTGTCTTGTCTCCGCTTTTCATAT